CATTTTGTATTAAAAGTGTCCAAAACTTGTTAAGAGGACCAAACGCGTCATATAAACTTATTACACGCTTTTAGATAGATAACTTTATTTTTTGATCATATGAATTAAGTCTTATAAAAAGTCTATTAAGACTTTATTTATTGGTGGCGTCCTGTAAATTTAATTTTGTTGTAGTGATTGTTTTATATGTGAAACGTTTAAGACTGTGTTTTTTTTCCACACACAAAACAGTCTTGAAGTTTTGCATATAAAACTATATATTGTGTATGTATTGCATTTTCACACGTATTGTTTCGTATGTGACGTACCATATGAAAACTAGTTTATATGTTTGTACGATTTATTGGGTTTTGTAGATGATTATACGTCCATGTAACACACACACACACACATATAGGGTTAGGTTCACGTGAGACCAACCTGTTTTTCGTGAAACCCGTGAGACTATTTTTTTACACTTGAAACTTCACAGCAAAACGTTGTGAAGGTAAAAAAAAGTCGAACCTTCACAGCAAAAACGCTATGAAGGTTACTGTGAAGTTTCAAGTGTAAAAAAATTGTCTCACTGGTCTCACGAAACAAGTTAGTGTCACGTCATCCGATATATATATATATATATATGTGTGTGTGTATTATTGATTCATTAATATCTGGCAAGGAGAGTATAGGTAGCAGGCAATAGAGAAGATGGAAGATTGTGGTGGTGTTCATTAATTAATATGTATATATAAAGCATGGATATGGTTTCAGTTGATGAGTAGACATGTCATACAGACAACGAAATGACTAAAGAAAGCCAGACGGAGAAACAACAACATTACATACAGACATTTAATAAAAAACAAGTAATTTAATGACTGAAAATCTTATCCAATAAGTTAAACGATCAACGATGATGTTGACCTATACCACAGTGGGAGCAACTAAAGACATCACATACAAACATTTCAAAAAAAAAAAAATCATCTAATAACTGAGAATCTTATCCAATAAGTTAAGCGATCAACAGTGACGTTGATCGATACCACAGAGGGAGCAACTAAAACATTACATACAGACATTTCAAGAAAATATATTGTCATCCCAATCAGATTTATTTATCTTTTGGAAAAAGTCTGTACATACATCCTATAAACGTTGTTTTCAAATCTGATAGATATACTATGTCCATAACTTAGTTTTGTCATATAAATCAGATTTAGTTGAAATAATTTGATGAGAAATTGAACATCAAAATGTCTAAATATCTATCTGTAATTTGCATATGTATAAATAATCTTTTTTTTATTAACTTGGATATCCAACCCGCTATACGAGCTGACTAATCTCAGGGTGATCACCTGTTTTGCGGATAGTCCGGAGTCACCGCATTTGAACCTCCGTGGCCACAAGAGGAGTTTTATTCCTCCTTGAATTTGAATCTGACACCTCCTGGTATTTTTGACTTTTAGAACCAAGTTCAAATCAATCATGCACCACCCTTGTGGTTTATATAGATAATCTTTGTGATCATTCATCCTGATCTCATTAATTTATATGTTTGTTACTTTATACAATTTTTAAAAATATATAATCATTATATTTTTCTATTAACAAAATGATATTTGTACTTTTAATAATGAAAAGATAAATTATTTCTACCTTATAATTAATAATAGAATTAAGTAAGGGTTCAATTTTTTTTGGTAACTATGAGTTTATCTGTTTGTGGCTAGATTACGTACACAAACTAATCTCTGACGACTATGAATAGCCTGAAGTAATCATAGGTGAACCTTCATGGCCACAAGTGTTTTGACAACACCTGAGTTCAAACCTGAAAGATGGGATTTTTCACTACATCCCTTAAGGCTTAATCAGTGAACCCGTAACCTAAATGGTTAATGAACACTCATTTTCAAATAAACTAAAATTGAAATGTAGACGCTAGTTTTGAGATAAAAAAAAAAAGTATTTGTTATTGTGTTACATTCTATATAAATATGTTAGGGTGTGGTTCTGGTAAGAAGGAAAGTTATATGAGAAGCGTAAGAAAAGATTTCCACCATTCATTCAATCCTAATTTAATGTTAACATTATTGAGGTGTACCGAGATGCACAAGATTAATTCCCTTATAAGTGGGCATGAGACTAAGGAGTTGTTTGTTTATCTCTCAATAGTTACATAAAGAGACAGCATTTGAATCGTTAAGAGGTGAATCTTGTTTGACAAAAAAAAAATCTACCTCTTAATGGTTCCAAAACCTTCTGAATGATTTTGTATCATGAATCTCCCTTAACCATTCAACACCCTAATTTTATTGTATACAATTATCAGACAATTATATTTCATTTTGTACTATATCATCAGAGTCTCTTAATCATTATGAGTTATGACCACTTAATTATTCTGCACCAAACCATTCAGCAACTGTCAAGCAGCCTTTTAGAGTGATCAAGTGTTCAAATTTTTCTTATTCTTATCACCATAACTTTCTTTCTCAGACCATCATTCATCAAATATGTTAACGTAAGCATCTTTTTAGGAATCGGTTTTTATTTCATAGACTTGTCAATATATATATATATATATGTATGTATATATATATATGTATATATATATGTATGTATATATATATATATCATAATATTTTATTTGTGAGATAAATATGATATTTATTTGAATAAAATTATTTATCAATAATTATTATACAATATAAATAACATTGATGTTGATTTATAAATTATTTTGTTAGTTTGGTGGAATTATTATAATTAATTAATTGATGATGAAATATTATAATTAAACGAATATGATCATAGCATGTGAATATAATAATATCTTATTTAAAAATAAGTACCAAATATTTATTATTTATTATATATTATTTATGAATAATAATAATAATAATAGGAGGAGGAGGTTATGGTAGTGGATATATAGAATAAATAAGACCGTACAAGAGATGCAAGCTCATGAGAAGGTCGTAAGGGAGGCAGAAGCGCACGTGACCACCTGGCTTCTATGTCCCTTTGCTTTCAATCCCCCACGTGCCCTCCTTTCTCATGTACTTTTTTTCCTTCAACTGTATTTGTTTTATTTTAATTGATTAACTACGTTAAATTCCTGACACGTCATAATTTTAATGCTCTGCTTTTTTATTTAAAGTATTACTTCATTTTTCTTTTTTTACTATTTTAATTTCTTATTTTTTTATTTTTATTATTCTCATTTAAATGTGACTCATTTATACAAACCAATCAATTAAAATTTTTATGTAAATAATGAGGATTAATTTAATATAATTTAAATATTTAAAAAAGATTATTAGAGTTTATAATTATATTAATGTTTTATATTATAAAATAATCGAGATATTTATTAGAGTTGATGGACGATTGAGATTGATTTGTATTTGAAATTTCTCTTGTTTGATATTATTGAATAATAGTGAATAAATATGAGTATAATGTATGAGACGAATAATCTTGTGAGAATATGAGTTAAAATGAAAAGCATAAGAAATAATATACACTCTTGATCACCCTTAATCTCATTCCCACTCTCATGAATTGCGTTTATCACAAAAATTGATCTGATATATCTCGGTTCACCGGACCCCAACCCTAATGCATGATTGTATATGTGAAATAACAATTTGTCGTTATAAGTTATGCCTTGTAAAAGGTCTCGGTTTTATCATGACCTCTAAGATTTAAGGACCTCATCACTGTGTTATATGTCTTACATCATTTAAAATCTTGTTCACAATAAAAAAAAACAAACTACATTAATTTTTTTAATATAAAAATACAACTTATTTTTCTTAAACAAATTTAATGGTTTTATTTTTATTTGTCTTTTAGATATTATTTTTAGTTATTCATTAGACCAAATTTAATACATCTAATATTTTAATTCAACTAATTATTCATCCATAAATTTTTGACTAATTATTCATATATCTTCATAATGTTTTTAAAAATACTACGTATATATACAAATCAATATTCATATACGCAAAAAGACATCATATATAACCACGAGAGTGGTGTCTGATTGATTTGAGTTTTGCCTCCAAAGGTCAAGAGTGCCTCTCCAAGTTCAAATCCATAGAGGAATAAAAATCTCATTGTGGTCACAGATGTTCAAATGCGGTGACTCCAGACTACCCGCAAAATAGGTGATCGTCATATTGTTAGTCAGCTCGTATAGCGGGTTGGATATTCAGGTTAATGAAAGAAAAAAAAAAGACATCATATATTGGATTTTACATTATATATTGAACTACCATCTAAGGGGCCGTTTACCTAAATGCTTATTCGGTAGGTACTTACTGTTATAAGTCAACATTATAACTTATTATTTTACCGAGTAAGATTATAGTACATTAAAACGATATTGTATGCAATAATTTACCCGGTAAGCACTTACCTGGGTAAGAGTCGGCACCCTCACTTACCGAGTAAGACTCTCTATATTTATCATTGTTCTTACCGGGTAAGATTTTTGACTTTTGTTATATTCATCAGATAAGGAAAATTACCCGATAAGCACTTACTAGATAAGAGTTTAGTAAACAGACCGTAAATATCCAATTTAACCGGTAGATTATTATTATATCGAGTAATTTTATCCGCACCCTATTTTCATTATACTTGTAATCAGATAAAAAAATGACATGGTTTTACTAAATTGTCATCTTTTTTGTTTTATTTTTTTAACATCAATATATAACACCAATTTTGTTATTAATTTATTATTTTCATCATAAACTTATTTTTTTATAAATTAATTAATACATTATTTATCATTTACTTACCACTTTTCTCATATTTCTATTTCATAATTTAAATAAATATTATATCAAATGGGCTGAAAACATGATGGGCCCAAGTTTAATAAAGCCTGGCCCAATAAATACCATGAAGCCTGCTTTAACAACCTTATAGAGTTATGGTTATAGAGCCATGATCCACTGCAACAAAAGATTTTTGCTCGACGATTCTTGACCGTAGATCACAAAGATAGCCTAATATTCTTCCTTCTACGTGTTATTCGCCATTGACATCCACAATAACGCGTACCACTTGCAAAGCAAAAGCAATCGATCAGAAAGTCTCGAAAGGAAACCCAAAATCCTTGCACAAAAAGCAAACGCACAAGATTTTGAGAACCAGAAGAGAAGTTGTTTGGAGGGTTTATTGGATTTTGATTTGTGTTTGATTTAACAGTCACGATGAGTTTTCTATTCGGAAAGAAGAAAACACCCGTAGGTTCATACCTTTGATCCATGTTTTAATTTTGTGTTTCTTCTGAATTCGATTTGCGTAGATTTACATGTTATTTAGGAATCTGCAATTTGGATACATATGATCAGTACTATATTCATATGTTGTCAAATTTTGCTAATTGTATACGGATCAGCGGTTTATACACCATGATCTTAGAAATTTTGTAGTTCTATTTATCAGAATTTTGGTTAATTGGTTGAATATCGAATAAATAGTACAGGAAAGCTTGAAGTTGGGATAACGATGATTAGAGGACACATAGAATTGTTCAAARGATAAGAGAACTGTGTTTAATCGAATATGTGAAATCTTATGGTKCTCAGCTTGATTACTATTGGTAAAACTGAATCAATTTATTGTTCCATTCATAATTATGGAGTTTTGAACCTAGGGTTGTTGGAGGGAGAGAATGAAGGTTTCCTGAGCTGGTTATTTTTTTTTTTTTTTTAATTAACCTGATATCCAACCCGTTATTGCTAGCCGATTAATTCCAGGGCTATCACCCGGAGTCACCGCATTTGAATCTCTCCGTAGCCACAAGGGGATTTTTATTTCTCCTTGGATATGAACATGAGATCTCCTGGTACTTTTGACCTTTGGGGCCAAGCTCAAACCAATCATGCACCACGCTTGTGGTTTGAGCTGGTTAGCCTTGGGTTGGGTTTGGGGAGCAAAATTGGGGGGGGGGGAGTATTTTGTAAAGGAAGTTTAGATAAATTGTGAGAATGTAGTGTTGAATTGTGATACAAACACGCACACACATGATTCGGGACATGGCCTTGCGAGCTTGTATTGCCAGGCTAAATATGCCAAGTTTAGGAATGAGCATTTAATATGGCCGGTCAAAATCCTCATAGAGGCATGGCTTTGTCTCGGTGCACAGGGTTATAGGTTTAGTTGCTTACATTTGTCGATTATAATCGTTCGGGTACACATTTTGTTGTAACCTTCTACTTGTTGAGTTTAATACATTTGTCAAATTTTTAGCTTTTGATTTTTACAATTTAACTTTAGATTTTACCCTTTTACAGATTTGCTTAATGACATGACTCACAGTTTCACAAATTCACACACGTCATGGACTCACGATTAGGACGAAGCTGTAAATTTATCCTTCCAAGTTCTATATGAATATTTAATCACATACCATTTGTATAGTACTAATATGTGTGTGTATATATATACACCCATATGTGTGTGTGTGTGATTTTTCTTCTTCTAATGTGAATCATATTTTGTTAATATCCTTATGTCACACCTTGAAAAATGGCGCGTCCTGTGGCGTGTAAGGCTTGAGATTTGACCTTGCCGCCACGTCATGCCTCACGCCATTAGAACCTTGATTTTGATGAATAGGTTTGATATCTAAGCATGACTGTTTCTTTGTGCCTCTTCCCTTTTGATCTGGTGCAAAATCCATTTCAGTAACAGGGTCTCACTCGATTCCTGGATTCCGTGCTATCTTTTCTGTCTCATTTCTTATTTTCTTTATATAATCCTCAATTCTACATGTAAACCTATTACTTATAGCTTTTATTTTTCTGAAATAAGATATGGTTGGTATTTGCAGAGCTCCTACGGGAGAACAAGAGAATGCTTGATAAATCTATTAGAGAAATAGAAAGAGAAAGGCAAGGTTTGCAGGCACAAGAAAAGAAACTGATTGTAGAGATCAAGAAAAGCGCCAAACAAGGACAAATGGTACACCAATTTCTTTCATTGCTTACACGATGTTTATTTGCAGTTTTGAATCTTTTCGGGTTTTTATTCATTCATAATTTCATTTGATCACCTATTTTTTTTTACCCAAATTAGATGCTAATAATGTGTAGGTCTTAATGGTACTTTTTTCTCTCAGGGAGCTGTTAAGGTGATGGCGAAAGACCTTATCAGAACAAGACACCAGATTGAGAAGTTTTACAAGCTTAAATCCCAACTGCAAGGCGTATCGCTTAGAATTCAGGTACTATTTTCTTTCTTCTCTTTATATAAACGCATTCCTTTTCATTAGTTTTATCTATTTATATGCTTCAATGTTGTTGCTTATTTTGTTAGTTTTACCTTTCTGGTTGACTTTTTTTTTTTTATCGTTTGTTCTTCTTTTCTTTTTTCTCTCACTTTGTTGTTTGTACAAGTCGGGGGTCTTCGTGGAAACAACCACTCTACCCTTTTGGGTAAAGGTTAGATCTGCATCCCCCCCCCCCCCCCCGGGCAGGGGGAGGACATACATAGGAGCATATGGTGGCACGGGCCACCGCATCATGGTTTATGTTGTAAGGGGAAAAATTACGTTTCTAAAGAGTGTCACTGCATTGTTTTCTTTGGTGCCCTTATATTTTTTGAAATTGAACTTTGGCAGAAGTCTTTAATGGTGGAATTGGTAAGTATTGTTACCTTCATACCAAAGGCCCGGTTTTGAATCCCTTTTTTGTCAAATTTCTTAGTTTTCAGCTTATATTCTGGTGTTTAAAATTGTAGACAAGGCTCGAACATGGGTTCCTTCTAAACTAATATTGTGAAAATTTTCTATAGATTTTTTTAGTCAAATCATGCCACCACTTAAAAAAAACTTCTGGATCTGCCACTTATATTCTAGTGTTTTTTATATACGTCTTGTGTTTTTTTTTTCAAAATCGTAGACAAGACTCAAACATGGGTTCCTTCTAAATTAATATTGTGAAATTTTTATAGATTTTTCAGTCAAATCGTGCCCACACTTAAAAAAATTCCTGGGTTCGTCTCTGCTTCTGGGTGAGATATATTGGGTTCGTTTGGTTTATTCCATTTTGTTAGTGTAAGAAACACCAATCTAGAAAGAAGTGGGAAATGGTTATGATGGTTGATCAATCGTTTTGATGTTAATCAGACGTTGAAGTCGACACAAGCAATGGGTGAGGCGATGAAAGGTGTGACGAAGGCAATGGGACAGATGAACAGGCAAATGAATCTGCCATCGTTGCAGAAAATAATGCAAGAATTCGAGAGGCAAAATGAGAAGATGGAAATGGTAAGCGAGGTGATGGCTGATGCCATTGATGATGCTTTGGAAGGAGACGAAGAGGAGGACGAAACGGAAGAGTTGGTGAGCCAGGTCCTAGATGAGATCGGTATCGACATCAATCAAGAGGTAAATAATATTCCACTTTTTGTAACAACCCGTATCACAGATAAAAAAAGATTTGTGAGCTCTTATAAGTTAAAAGTTGGGCTTGAATCGTTACACTTATGGTATAAGATCTAAAAAAGAAGATGTGGGTTACCAATAACTTTGACCATGGTTTTAAGTTGATTTGGAGGTTATTGGGTAAGCCTACTATGAACTTGGGACGCCACACTTACCTCTGAGATTTGAAAATTAAAGAAAAAATTAAATTGTGTTTTTCGTCCCTATCGTTTGTTAGAAAATGTGATTTATGTCCGTGTGGTTGAGAAATTATAGTTTTCATCCATATGGTTTGTTATTCATTGTCATTTTCGTTCTTATGATTTACAATTTATTGTTGTTTTGGTCCCTTGTACTTAAAGGTAGGAATTTAGTCCGAGGAAGAAAATAGCAATAAATAGCAAACTGTAGGGACGAAAATCGTAATTTCTAAACCATAGGGACGAAAATGGTAATTTACTCTATTAAAGAAAAAGTCGGTGGGATACTAGTAATTTTCATCCCGGTTTTAAGTTGATTTGGTGGTCATTTGGTCAGCCTGGTGATTTGGGGTTTGACGTTACACTTTTGGTCTGAGATTTGAAAATAAAGAAACCAAGTACTAACGGAATATTATGAAATGACAGTTGATGAATGCACCCTCCGGGGCTGTATCGGTCCCGGCTACAAAGACGAAGGTGGCGCAGACTGAAGCACCAGCGGGTGCGACCGATGATGGTGGGATCGACAGCGATCTACAGGCCAGGTTAGACAATTTGAGAAGAATGTAAGTATCATACGTTTGTTTATCGGTCTTTTTTTTTTTTTGTACCGAAACCTTAAAACATCGACATAATTGGCTTGTAACATATTTGATCGAATTTGTGACCTTATATCGATTATATGCAATGACAGTGTGTTGAATTAATCTCACATTTTCTTCCAATATTTATGGTGTTTAATATTTTATTTATTGTTTCAGAAAATCAAAACTAGTTTATGGAATCTTGTAGATGGTAGTTATAAATAAAAGACAATTACTGGTTAGACTTGGGATTACGTGAGACTATTTTTTTACACTTGAAACTTCTCAGCAAAATGATGTAAAGACAACTTTTACAATGTTTTTGTTGTAAAGGTTCGGTTTCTTTACCTTCACAGCGTTTTGTTAAGAAGTTTCAAGTGTAAAAAAATGATGGTCTCACGAAAACAGTTTAGTCTCTCACGTAATTCCAACTCTTACCGGTTATTTCCAAAGATCTGTTCACAAGTTAAATATAAAATTAATGAAAAATTGCATTTTAGTTCCATTTTAGGTCACCAAACACGATTATTTCAATTCTCTCATGATTAAATTCTTTTTTTATTTATTTTATTCATTTAATAATTTCTTCAAACCAAACGTCATCTAATTAAATCCAATGATAAAGGATCTAATTATTAATTTGTGTAGCTCAAAAATAAAATTCATATAAAAAATAAAATACTTTGATTTTTAAATAAAATACAACTTCTTTTTGTTAATTCATATCAAATAATTTCAACATTGAAAAACTTTCATGGAAATTAATGACATCTTGGTTTAGTTTTTATACTTTTTTGAGTGACGAACAGATGATATTGACTAACAAAGTTAGGTTCTGGAACGATAAGAACTGCAAAGATATGAATGCTTTGCTCCTTTGATTTCAAGGGTGACGAAAATGCACCCGATAACAAAAGTTGTGCGTTATCAAAGAGCCTTTGGCCTAGCGGTATGTGAGTCTTTGGCGTCCTAGGAGGTAAAGGATTCAAACCTCACTGAATGTGAAGAGAGTGTGTGAGTTTAATTGTTATATTTGCCGTATATAAAATATTATATACTTTAAAAAAAATTGTTAGTTTTTGCCGGTGTTCTAAAAGGCTCGTTATGGTATGGTATGGCATGGGTCAGGGCTTGTGTTTGACGTAACGTTAAGCTCGTGGCACGTCATGGTTGAACACAGTTTTTATAACGTGATATTTGATTGTTTTTTACATTCTTGGTATTACATAATTTAAATTATTTAATATCATGAACTACTTGAGTAATAGTAGAAAACATGTGTGTGTAGAGAGAGAAAGAGAGAGGTCCAAACGAGAACAGTAACTAAGTAACTAAATAAAGGAATACGAAAACAGTCAAACAGTCAACATAAAAGTGCCTGGGCGATGTAGGTCGCGGCCAAGGTCGTGCGAATCACATGTGATTCGACTATTTTCTTATTATCTTATTTGGTTACTGTTCTTGTATGAACCTGACTGATATTATTATATATGTAATACATAGATTTTGCCGTCATAAGTCTATCCCTTGAAACGTCGTAACCTCATTGTAACTTCTAACCCTTAAGGTTTAACCTCACCTCACGTTTATATATATATAGGGGACTAATCAAATAAGAACTAATTAGTTTGTGGTAACTGTGAGAACCAATATTAACCACAAATCAATAGATAAATTAGAAAATTTATAATTTTGGTAATTTTGAATTAAAATCTTAATGCAAGGATATTTTTGGTATTTTAAAACTTTCTTCGCTCCTCTCTTCTCTCTCCGGCCACCGTCCTCCGGTGATACTACAATGGTATCACAATGCATCATATATGTGCTTGGGTATCACATTGATGTCGTTTGTGTGGTCGATCGAAGATGTAACACAGTGGTATCACTATGCATCTTATATATGATTAAGTATCATAATGTATCTTTTGTTTAACATAGTCAATATTTTTAGGTATCACAGTGGTATCATAGTGGTATCACCGGAAGACGGTGGCTGGAGGCTGGAGAATGGTGGCCGGAGAGAGAAGAGAGGAGAGTTTTAAAATACCAAAAATATCCTTGCATTAAGATTTTAATTCAAAATTGTCAAATTTATAAATTTCCTAATTTATCTATTGATTTGTGGTTAATATTGGTTCTCATAGTTACCACAAACAACTCAGTTCTCCTTTGAATAGGCCTATATATATATATATATATATATAAATATATATATATATATATATATATATATATATAACCTTATTTTTTGTATACGAAATATTAATATGAATATGGAAAGTATACATAAATCATAATTACAATTTTACGATAATCAATAGATATTATTATCAAATTCCACTCTACAAATTTACAATAATCCGCAATTATTTGTGGTCTATTTTGTGAGTGAATAAGACAAGAGAAAATACAAGCAGGAAGCTCCTCTTCTATCCATTTCTCTCAATAAATGATGGCCCCACACCACACACCAACCACCAGTTCATTAAAAATCTCTCCTTTTTTGCTTAATTCTTGCTCAATCATTTCCTATTTTTCATTCATATATTGACGGCGGCGGTGGTGGTAGCGGTGGCGCCACCACCGGAGCACGGCAAAGTGGGCAGTCAATGTGAGAGTGCAACCACATATCGATACAAGAAGCATGAAAAAAATGGTTACAAATCGGCAATTTTCTCACTTCTTCTCCTTCTTCAAAAACGGACAAGCAAACGGAGCACTCGCTGACGTCATCTTCCAACTGGTTTTTATCTTTTTCTTTCTTGTATTTGAAGCTTGAGACCAAGCATATGGTGGTGGGGCTACCACCGGAGAGCGACGGATACGGTGGCGATGACATGGTGGTGGGATATCGGGTGCGGCGGGGGAGCTGGGTCTCTTGTTGTGAACGGCGGTGGTATTGGGTGGCGCACCAACGAACGATGATGAGATTGTAGACAGCTAGGACGATGGCTGCGGTGGCTACCACCACAAGACCGTAGTATAACATGGGGCCGGTTGGTCTTGGCGGTGGCGGTGGTGACGGTGGTGACGGTGGTGGTGGTGGTGGTGGTGGTGTGGTTAGAGGTTCTGGAATATTTAGATAACCTCCCATCCGGAGGAAAAGAAGAATTCCTTTTGTGGTTGCGGGAAAAGAAGTGTGGTTTTGCATACGGAAGGTTTATTGTCCATATCATTTATTGAATTTATTTAATTATGAATAAAAATGAGTAAATTAATATAAATAATACTCACCTATCGAGAAAAAAGAAAAACCAAAAAGGTATTTGCACACTACAACAAAATACATTTTGATTTTAATGTTTCGTTTTTCTTATTTCAATTGATGTTATAATTCAGTTTTATGTAGTTTTGAGAAATCGATAATATTTTTATTTTTAAATAAAATATAAATATAAAGATACATAAAAAAAAGTTGAAAAAAAGTTATTGATATCGGTATCAAACTAACTATTTATAATTTTACCTTTTCTTGTGATTTTTTTAATTCATTCTTTTATTTTTAGTTTAATAATATAATTTTTTATAAAGATAATAATTTAGTAGTTTGTTAAAACTCAATGATTATCCCAATTATATTTTAGACTTTTAATATTTAAAATGAGATATTTATTCTTTATTTGCTTATGTTTATCTTTAGTTAGTTATACGAATTCAAACATGAAACTTAAATAAATTGTACTTACGCTCAATTATTTGTAATCTTGATTTTTAAGTAATATGCATCAATGCACAATATTTAATGCTTTAAAAATGGTTTTTAAAAATTTGTGTTAAATGTTTTATAGATAAGTACATAATTATCATTACTAGTACTTTTTTTTTAAGAAATTACTTCTACCTTTTAGTACTTAAAAGAAAAAAAATTCAAAAAAAAAACCTTATGAACTATTTCATTTTGAATGATTAAATCATTAAACTGATTTTTATGAAAAAAAATCATTAAACTTTTTCATTTTGAATGATTGAGTTCTTGAATTATTTATTTGAATTAAAAAACTATTAAACTTTCTATTTTTTAATGAAAAACCATTAAACTTTCTCATTTTAATTGATTAATTGGCTGAACATATTTTTAAAAATTAAGTCATAGTATTTTCAAAAATTAGTTAACTTTACATTCTTTTAACAAAAAAAAGTTACATTAACCGACTAATAAAAATTTGATGGTTTATTTATTTTTTTCAAAAAATAAAATATAAAAGTTTAATAATTTTTTATTTAAAAAAATAGTTCAGAAACTTCGTAAACCAGTTTTTATACATAGGTTTTATATATAAAGCTTTATATATACTATCTTATTAAGCAAATTTACCAAAATCTTAAAGTCTTAAAATACTAAATGACCAAGATACCTTTTATATATTACTCTTACTCACTTTTTCACCCACTCCTCTCCTCACATACCTTCACCCTCTCACAACCATTTTTTTAAAAATTATAATTTTAAATTTACACTTTATATCCCTATAATTAGTTAATTAATTTACTTTACATCCTTTACTTTTAAATGTTTCATTTTAAACTTTTATCAAATTAACATACATAATCATGTATCAATTAAAACATGTTTAAAAAATACATTTTTATTTTAACAAGTTACACCATTATAATCGTCTCGTTAATACCTTCGAAATGAGTCCAATATTGAATGGTTTTTGACTTAATTATATTATTATATATTTTATATAATGTAAAAAATATTTTTAATATTTATGATTTATACTTTTATAGTTATTTATTTATATATATACTATATATTTTGGGGTTATGCTGTCCAAATTGCATTGTATAATATGTTCTTGGGTTTTTTTGAAATATATATATATATATACATGTATTAATTCAACCTTAATATGAGTTTCTGGACAAGAAAGAGAGTAATCAGTTGAAATTTCATTCTAAAACCCATTTTTTTGTTCTTTTTATGGCTTATGATCTGTCAAATTTGTATTTTTTTTATTGATTTTGAGTGTTTATCTTAAATTTCTTTGCTCTTGGTGTAAATCGAACACATTTGTGGAGTCGTTTAAGTATGTTGGATTTTAAATATATTGGATTTTAAACTGTCATACAATTTTTTTCATCGATAATCTGTAATTGGAACCATAACTCTTATTTATTCAAATTGTATTAATATGTAAAGACCACGTGTAACCTATATCATCGTTAAATCTTATCTTATAAAACCAGTGGAACTTCAAAATCGTTAAAATTCATGGCTTCTGTCGCATTGCATGGGTACACAACTAGTATATTGTTATATATGTTGAAAACGTATCAATACACGTTCATATATAGAAGCAGACATATAATCATACACGCAAGAATTAAACACATAAAATAATATAAATTATAACTTAAAATTCAAACTATAATGATTTCGATTGATTTTTATATAAAAAAAATTGTTTTACATGATTGGTTGATAATCGCACACGAATCTAGAAACTATAATAGAGTAAGGGTAAAATGGTAATTTTGAATGCAATACGATTTGATGGATATTGGATACATATAGCTTTGATTTTTGGTGACAACAAGAGAATAAATTTTCAAACGAGTCCACACTCCACACCAGTTTCAATAGTTTTCAAAAGTTACAAATCAACCCCTGGTATGCAGAATTCTTTACTTTCGAAGTCCAAAGAAAGGATACAAGCATGACGTTTTCAACGCCTGTCAATTCATAACAGAACATTCTCGAAAACAGTCCTGAGGTATTTGAAATTTTCTAGGAATGACATTTTTGGCCCGACTGTGCAAAAATCCTTTCAAGACAAGTCCTATTATGGTTCAACAATTGAACGAAGATTCTATTCGCAATGTTCTCGCTTTGTGTGACTGCGATTTATTTCAATTTTTGTGGAAATTAATTACATATATACATACTAGAAAGGTATTCATGCAATGTAACAAGATACATCTTTATTTTAATGTTTTATTTTATTTTTAATCTATGTTAATATAATACAGTTACATGGTTTTTAGAAACATAATGTTTTTTACTTTTGAATAAAAATAAATTTGAAAATATCATAAATTTTTTAAAAAATATTGATATTAATATCAAATTAACTATTAATTTTTTTTTTTTTACAATTTCTTTAATTTAATTTTTTATTGTAATTTAATTTAAGTTTAATAACAAAATAATTTATTTTTAACTTAACAATTTAATTATTATAAAGATAATAATTCAGTTAGAACTCAATGATTATACTTATTATATTTTAGATTTTTTATATTTAAAATAAGATGTTTATCCTATATTTGGTTATGTTTATTTGCAGTTAGTTATACGAATTCAAAAATAAAGTTTTAATAAGTTGTACTTACGCACAATTTACATGTAATCTTAAACTTTAAGTAACATGCATTAAGAAACAATACTCCATGCATAAAAAATGGTTTTTGAGAGTTTTTGTCAAATGTTTTATAATATAATATAGATAAGGTTTAATTTAAGTGAGAATAAGAGGTAAGGTAAGAAGTGTAAGAGTGATCTTTTATCCTTGAAAGCACATTAGGATGAGATGCATCAGATCAATCTTTGTATGAATTGTGATTTATATGTGGGTTTGAGATTAAAGGTGATCAATGGTACAGATCTCTTCTTATATTTATCACATTAACCCTCCTTCCCATATGATCTTTCGCATATATATATATATATATATATAGAGAGAGAGAGAGAGAGAGAGAGAGAGAGAGAAAGAAAGAGAGAGAGACTTGGGATCACTTGAGACCAGTCTATTTTCGTGAAACCTGTGAGACCATTTTTTTACACTTGAAACTTCACAGCAAAACGTCATAAAGGTAACTTTCACAGTGTTTTTGCTATTAAAATTCGGCTTTATTTTATATTCACGAAGTTATGCTGTGAAGTTTAGAGTGCAAAAAAATGATCTCACGAAAACAGACTGGTCTCACGTAAACTCAACCATATATATATATATATATTTGAGATCATGTGAGACCAATGGTTTTTCGTGAGACCCGTAAGACCAATGGTTTTTCGTGAGACCCGTAAGACCAATTCTTAACCCTTGAATTAGATCTATAATCTCAACATTCTTAATCACAAAATTTGCCATGAGAGTTCTCAATAATTACAAAATTGCCACTGTGCAACTTTAAACCATTAGATCATTAATTTATAAAATTGATCAATGAACATAAATTGGTCTCACGGGTCTCACGAAAAACTCTTGCTCTCACGTGAACCCAACCCTATATATATATATATATATAC